CAGCTAGAGTAGTATATGAAAAAAGAAAGAAAGAAAATAAAAAGATATACCCATGAAATTTGGCAGAATAAATTGATAGAATACACAGAATTAGTAACTATGACCGTGAAACTAAGAAATAAGAATGAGTCACGGATAAGAGACGAGTAGAAGTGCTTTTAAGAGTATCTTAGAAGGTATAATAGTCAATTTAACCTACAAGTAGGAATGAACATATGAGCAGCAGATAACATTAAATAAAAGATGATTTGAGACAAAAATGGGTGGAATAATAGATTATAAAGCTGACAAAAGACTGCCTAGAATGCCATGGAGAGATGGACTGGGAAGTCGGAGGATAAGAGATATGAATGAATGCTGTATGATGTATATGTAAGTTGTAAAGATGCATAAACCAAATAATAAAAAAGGAAAAAGAAATATGTGACCCACAACAACCAGTCATTGCTGCTCCTAGCAGCCCACAAGGCTGACCATTTGCTAAGGCCTACCAAGTAAGATTACCAAGATCGGCTGAATCTGATTTTCTGACCCGGCTGTGTCTCATGTTATGCAACAGCGAGAGGCTCTCACTTTGAGCGGAGATGGGCTCTGGGAAGATCATACACAGCGTGCATAGCCTCCGATCTAGCCAAGCCACGTGCAAAGGGAGACCACGGTCCAGAAGGCTTGTTTCTGGGGAGGTTATTCTACAAAGATGGCTTGCTCTTCCTGATCAGTTATTTCGATATTGAACGAGCCCCTTTCAACATGCTCACATGGACCTCTTTCTGTTCTGAAGAACTACTCTCTGTGAGTGCGTGGAATAGTGGCTGATATAGGTGCCTTCCCGCCCCCCGCCCCACATCGGTGGAGACAGTTCATAGGAGGGCACACCTGCGCTATTTTGTGGTTCTGCCTCGTTTTCTGCTCTTTTCGGTGTGGCAGCCATCTTGCAATATGCTGTGACCCCACTCCAGCCATTTTGTATTATGGCATAACAACAACAACTTATTATTTGTACCCCGCCCATCTGGTTGGGTTTCCCCAGCCACTCTGGGCAGCTTCCAACAGAGATTAAAAATACATTGAAACATCAGTCATTAAAAACTTCCCTAAACAGGGCTGCCTTCAGATGTCTTCTAAACGTCAGGTAGTTGTTTATCTCTTTGACATCTGATGGGAGGGCGTTCCACAGGGCAGGTGCCACTACCAAGAAGGCTCTCTGCCTGGTTCCCTGTAACTTGGCTTGTCGCAGTGAGGGAACCACCAGAAGGACCTCAGTGTCCGGGCAGAACGATGGGAGTGGAGACGCTCCTTCAGGTATACTGGGCCAAGGCTGTTTAGGGCTTTAAAGCTCAACACCAACACTTTGAATTGTGCTCGGAAACGTACTGGGAGCCAATGTAGGTCTTTCAAAACCTGGGTTATGTGGTCTCGGCGGCCACCCCCAGTCACCAGTCTAGCTGCCACATTCCGGATTAGTTGTAGTTTCCGGGTCACCTTCAAAGGTAGCCCCACGCAGAGCGCATTGCAGTAGTCCAAGCGGGAGATAACTAGAGCATGCACCACGCTGGCGAGACAGACATGGCAACCATTTAGTGACCGGCACCCATCAGCCTTTCTCCAAATTCCCAAATGCGCCCACTGGTCCAGAAAGATTGCTGACCCTCAGCTGTGCCATCACAAAGGGCATTGGATGTGCTCTGACTTTGTAGGAGGCCCTACTGGGTCAGAAAGAGAGACAGCCAACTGAAGGCATCTTGCCTGGAGGCCCATAACAAATGTGGCATGGAGCCTGACCACAGGGAGATGGGAGTTTGTTTGTTTGTTGCACCATGTCGATAACATGTAAATTGGGCCTCTTATTCACACTCAGACACACACACACGAGTGCCCTTGCTGTGCAGTCCGGCAAGCCTCTCGTCTTGAGCCAGCATTTGTAAAACGATATTTCTATATTTACTTAAACATCTATTTAAAGAGGAATCCTTCATAATTACTCACCCACAGATAGATGACACTGTTTTGGCTGTGTTTATTTAGTTTCTATTAGCGATTGGCAAAAAGTCTACTGTGGCTTTAAAGCAGCTCTAGATGAATGACCCCTTGATCATAAAATAAGGTACGCTGCCTTCTTATTTTTTTTTCTTTTTAGTCCTTGTGGGAAACGGATGGCAGAAAGACATATATCAATGTCTCCTCCTATCATTTCCAGATAAAAATACAAAAATCCAATAAATTCTAATGGGACTGGCTTAAGAGGCAAATTCTCAGAAGGACAGAGTGGTATTTTAAGTATCCTAACACTTTGGGGGTCATACCAGACTGCAGAGGGACAATATGCAGAAGTTCAATTAAGTGATCTTAAATATACACCCTTAGTTGAACGCCCAGGCCCCATTTCTGACACAGTGGGTTACCACCACAAGTATTGTTTACACCTGTTCAAAGTATGCATACAGGACCAGTCAGCATGACAGCTATTAGCAGAAGCTATAACTAGCCTGACTTTCATTTTGTTGGGCAATTTTTTTTTTATTAAGAAAAAGAAAGAAATGAATTTGATTGGATTTGGACTGGGCAAATACGCAAACTTTGCATTACCTGAATGTCTTTCTAGGAGATTCATATTTATATATATATTCTTCAAAAAAATCTAATTGCAAATCCCATTTTATAGCACTCCAAGTTTGCCTGTGTGGGATGCCACCCTATCGTTTGGATAATCTAACGCTGTGGGCCAGACAGGTTTACACCTTCTGTTGTGAAGTTTGGCTCAATCAGGGTTGGCTAAACTATTGTTTGACTACAACGCCCATCATCCCTGACCACTGACCATGCGGGCTGAGGCTGATGGGAGTTGGGAGTCCCAACAACATCTCAAGGGCCACATGTTGCCCACCCCTGGGTTCAATCCACTGGAGAGGGTGGTTCAATATGTATGATTAATAAAACAAAATAAAAACCTCCTAAGGTTAAGACTTATTGGAATGTGTTAACTTATACCACAGCTAGACTGGAGTTGTTTGGAGAATCTCTCCCCATGACACAAAAGATAGTTTGGAACTATGACATAGCAGCTTAATTGGCTGAGCACTGGACCATTTAGATCAGTATTATCTAGCTGCTACCCAAGAGATGGTAGGGAGTTAACACGCAGTCATCTGCAGGCAGAACACATGAGCCATCACAGAGTTATGGCCAGACCCAAAAGGCTTGTTTTGTTCCCAAGTCAATTTACTGAGTATCCTGGGAGATGCCTCATAATCTTCCGTAACGGCCGGGGGTTCGCTTAACAATTCGCCTAGGGGTCCTCGTGCACATGTGTCTTGTGGGGAAATGTTTCACAAAAGTACAGGCAGCTCCCCACTCCCTGGTTTGTGCGGGGGTTACGTTCCAAGTCACTATGCGTGTTGGCGAAATTGTGTATAACTGAAACCCATTGAAAAAGCCGGCAAACATCTGCACTATATTTAAAGCACTGTTGTAAGACTTTTTAAGAGTCATGGCTTCCCCCCAAATAATCCTGCAAGCTATAGTTTGTTCAAGATCTCCTAACAATTCCCAGCACTCTGATGAAAATACAGTTCTCAGGATTCTTGGGGGAAGTCGCGATTCGTGAAGTGGTATATAATAGTGCTTTAAAGGCATAGTGTGGATGTGACCTTCATTATTACAATCACCAGCAGAACATCACCCTCCGTGCATTTATTGCAGTATAGATTTCACTTCTTCCAGCCACTGACCTCTCTTGGCTTAGCTTCTCGACAGGCCACCTGTTTTCTTGCAGAAGAGCAAAAGAGGCTAATCCAAGTGTGTACGCAGTAAACCCATTTGTAACATAAAAAATGTTGTTCCTCTCAATCTGGAATGATCCATGCTCATCCTCAACGCGCTAGATCATGCCACCCATAAGGGTAGATGTGGTAACTTCACAACATATCTGAAAATCCTTCCTTTCATTAAGTTATCCATGCATTTTCCTCCCGACTTGAGAAATTAAGAAGGAAGTGCCTATTACAGGTATTGGTACAGTGTCAGTTGGACAGGTCTGGATAATCACCCTCCTGATGGCTGGCACTACATACAGCTGTTCTCAAACTGCGGGATAGCACAGAATCAACCTGCAATGAGCTTTTATTTTCTGAATGATACGGGTTTCTCAAGAAGCAGCTTTTCAGGAGCGAATTTTTTTGTAACAGATCTAAACTGTGAGTGGACTACGTGGGGGGGGGGGAAACCCAAACACTCTAGTGTCCATTGCTTATAGAATAAAATCTGAGTTGGCAGCCTATGTTCTTCTTTGGCATGTGGGAATGTCCCTTTGACAACTGTGAAGCTGTTGTCAACAGACTCTTGAAGTCCTGGAAGACCATCACAGTCAACAACGTCTTATTTGCTATTGAAAGACCAGGTGTTAAGAGTGGGCACACTTTTGAGAACTGCCCTCCTGGCATCTGCCACATCCTCTTTGAACACCAGGGCCCAAAGGAAGCCTGCTCTTCCAACTGCCCTGCAACTACTACTTATAACAAGAAGGCCCAAAGCACTCCTGGGGCAAAATTAGAATAGCAAGAAGTAGCATCACACTCAACTCACCTGATTTTCTGGATGATGATGGCTGTGTGTTCTTGAGCATGGCTGTTGACTTAGAATCACTGGCGGCGGCAGCAACTGCAGCAGATGCGTTCTGTGCAAAAGATTATATTTTAGTTTCCTCTTAACTGTGTTGCTTTGAATGCATATTTTGTATTTTTAAAATTATTTTTATTGAATGATTTTCATGGATAACAAAGGCACATAAAACACCTCTGTTTTCAGTTCAGAGTCCTATCCGTAGGTTACATCTGGTATGGGACGTTGCTATCACAGGCATTGTGAGGTTGTGGGGGGAGAGTTTTATTTTGGGGTGTTTTATTTGATGCTTTGTAAACTTCTTTGATATTTTTGTTCTTAAAAAATATAAAGTGTTATAGAAACGAAATGAAAAATTATGTTGCAAGGAGAAAAAGACAACAATGGCGCCGGCAGAAAGAAAGAACAAGCGTTTGCGGCGATTACGACTGCGTCCCTTCCCCAAAGGAGTCTACAAAACTGTAGCCATAAATCTGCGTTACCTAAATCTTGTGTCATGGCTTGGTCTGCAACACGACGCAGGGGACATGCACACAACACAGATCCGCCACATCTGTGGCAACATGAAAGAGCAAAGAAAGTGAAGCAATAACTATTTGAATGGGAAATGCTCCAGATGAAACAGCACCCTGGTAGTGTTATTCAAATAGATTAAGAAAGAAAAGAAAAATAAGCAAGGCTTTAGCATGCAAAACACAGCCTTAATTCCTGCAACAGCCGGTGACAAATTGAGAGTCACCCGTAAATCACTGCAGAGTATCTTGTGAGATTCGATCTCAGGCCAAGATGTAAGGCAGCCAGGGCGTGCTTGTGAAATGGGACCAGCCCATTTGATATCGTTGCATTTATATATCAGTCATCGGTGGAGGGAGTGCAAAGGACTTGCAAAGAGGAAGGAGGGGAACCTCTGGGGCTTTTCTTTTCGCTTCTGAAGAGGGAACAGAATCCCAGGCCTTTCCTGATATGCCCTGGTTGCTAGCCGTGTTCTTAGGAAGTCAAGAGGCCACAGGTTCTGTCCCGGCTGTAAATAAATCGGATTGCATTTTGGCAGGGCGAAGCCCGTTTTAAATTTAAAAGGAGGAGGAGTGGTCCTTTTTGCTATAGAGATGTATCAAGGCCCCATCTGCCTGCGCCAACCTCTATATCCCATTCCCGTCATCACCCTCAGCCGCTTTGGGCTGCTGCTAAGACCCGGCATTTGCGACATGCGCCTCTCCTTCCAGTCTGCTGCTGGAACAGCGGCATGTTCTTGGAACAGAGCGGGGATAATGGAAGTTCCGTCCTCAAACAGCTTTGAATATGTCATCATTTGCCTCGAGCCCCTGCGCTTGGCACCATATCACTTTCCACATCAGATTCGGTAAGCCTTGACCACTTCCAAAGGGGACAATTAACAGTGACATCCCAGCGGTGTCTACTCAGAAGTAAGCTTCACTCTGCTCAACACGGCCCGCTCCCATGTAAGTGCATGTAGGATTGCAGCTTGAACTGGTTTGCACCTATCCTGCACCCAAGCATCTGACCAACGCAGCTTACGGATGCACAAACTGCCCATGCGATCAGGTGATCAACCAGCTAATGGGCAGGGCCTTCAAAGCCCCTTTTGGGTCCGTGGTACAGAGGTCCCACACTTAGCCCTAACAGAAGGCCACCGTACCCTGATAAAACATACTTGGTTCTTTAAGCCCTTTGAAAACCAATGTAGCAAATGGGGTTGGGGATGCAGGATGTAAGTCAAAATAGAATTTTAGAGAAAGCCTGCGCCATTTATGAGCCACGAAGCCAAATGGAATCCATTGGGGTCAGGCATGGATTCACTAGAGATTCCATAAACTGTATGGATTCACCATCAGGCTGAGTAACAGGAGTCACAAGCTGCACAGACCTGCGGCCTTTACGTCAGGTTTCCATTTTCATTTTGGAACCATGCACCGTTAACTTTTTACGTACACACGCAAAAAGCTTTTATGTGTACAGTACATGGGGAAAAGATATCAGGCAGTATCCAGGGCACTCGTTCTGCTGGGGCATTGTTTCTTAGCCTTTTCTAACCCATGCCCCCTTTCAGCCAACAGAAAAATCTCATACTCTTCCCATACTTTTAACGTCAAATAATAATTTTGGGATAATAATAAAAGTAAATCTAAGTATTTATATTCCAATATATATATATGCAAATTTTAAAAAAAAAACACCACCCACATGAAATTTCAAAAAGGCGCCTTCAATTATTATTAATGTGAGAATGGATGAGCCGTGCTTGCCACATCTCAGGTCACTTTCAACAGCCAGTCTGTCGCACCGCTTTGCTTTAATAGCCACAAGAGCAGAAACACCAGCTTTGCAATGCCATACAGATGATGAACAGAGCTGATGGAACAAGAAGAGATCCCCCATCTGGGATGGATATATGGGGAAAAGGCATTTCAACAAATATACAGCGGTTTGTCAGAGGGCTGGTTAATGGGAAAGTTTTTTCCTGAATGTAGAAAGCTTGCAAATTGCTTACGTAGTGGTTGATGAGATTCTGGCTCTCTCCAAACTGCTCTTTTTTTTTTGCAGGTGCATTCTGCAACATGTAACTGATGCAAAAAGTGATGGACTTACACCAGACCACCCGTCCAACATTCTGCATTATTAGTTGTGTGATGTTTCCACCGTGTCACCATATTCTTGCTGTCTGCAGGGGCACTATCAAAATACAGTGCAGCAGAAGCAGGAAAAAAATTATCTGGAACTGATGCACATAGAGACCTAAGAAGTTACAGGTTTTCAGCATTACTTCAGGGTAATACACTGATTGGAAATATGTTCAAATCAAAACCTCTACAGTCTTGAACAGTAATGAAAGCAGGATCTCATATAACCGCCCCAATACCATCATGAGCACAAATCATCATAAACGCACAACAAAAAAAGGAAGTAAGTCTGCAAGGGTCCTGTGGTGTCGAGTCACCTCAGTATAATGTATTGTCTCACACAGTTGTGTAGCAGTTAGAGAACACTCTGCTCTAACTTTCTTCTTTCAGTGATCACAAAATTACCCTGTCCGGCTGGAACATTTGATATCCACCATAGCAGATCACAGTGTTTGTACTTTTGTTGGTCCCACACAATGAAAGACACAAAATAGGTAACATGATATTTTTGCTAACAGAGATGAGGCTTGACAGTAGGTGAGAAAGGGTTGTGTAACTGTGTTCATTTCCTTTGATATATTTTCTTCCCTCCCGCCTTCCCCCCTGGCCCGGGAAGAAAAGAAATAATTCTATACTTCTCTGTGTCTCTTTTTAATTTGGGGCCAAGGATTTAACAGCTTGCGAGAGCACCAATTCAGAGACAACAATAATGTTACATTTCCTGGCACTGAAAAGAACCCCCTGCCTCTTATAAGTCACTTCAGGATGGCCTGATGATGGAACTTCCATTGTATCTGTGAACACATCCAAACTGAGAACGGCCAGTTCACAAGGAAGTTGGTGCTTCAGAAAGGAAAGATGTTTCTTCACAATGAAAATACTGCCAAGTGGAATTTCAGAATATAGGCATCAGGGTCATGTAAAGAAATGGAGCCTTTAATTGATGCTGCAACGCTTTCCAAGATAGGTGTTTCAGCGGATTCTGCTGAAAGGTAAGCTTCCATGTTACCAGATGGAAGAAAATTTTACAGTTTTTGCCAGCCAAGTGACATCCACTTGCATTATATATTTTGGAAAGTTGTGTGTTTATTCGTGCATTTGTACACCTATTAAGATAGCAAAACCAACTTTTTTTGTGATGGTTCCTGAGATCAAGGAGCCGTTTTTTGTCTGTGTTCGGATATACCAGGACACCATTTTGAATCAAGATGGTGGTGGAATGAACCTAATCAAAACTGACCTTAGCCACTGATTTCAAAACTGCACTGATTTGTTGGTTTCTTGGAATTCCTGAGCAACTCTGGGGACGAGGCTTCCTGCACATAGACTGGCTACATATGTGTTCTAGTCATGACAAAGAGGTACAATTTCTAGATATTCCATTTGACTGTGCCCAAGAGCAATTAGCCATGGCAGAAACCCTGGACCTAATCTTGAGTGGTGCTCAGAACCTGCTGCAAGATGTAGGTGTTGTCAAGCCAACTATGAGAGCAATGACCATGGTGGTATTAAACTAAACATTTTGTTGTTGTTGTTGTTTAGTCGTTTAGTTGTGTCTGACTCTTCATGACCCCATGGACCAGAGCACGCCAGACACTCCTGTCTTCCACTGCCTCTCGCAGTTTGGTCCAACTCATGCTGGTAGCTTCGAGAACACTATCCAACCATCTTGACCTCTCTCGTCCCCTTCTCCTTGTGCCCTGATCTTTCCCAACATCAGGGTCTTTTCCAAGGAGTCTTCTCTTCTCATGAGGTGGCCAAAGTATTGGAGCCTCAGCTTCACGATCTGTCCTTCCAGTGAGCACTCAGGGCTGATTTCCTTAAGAATGATAGGTTTGACCTTCTTGCAGTCCATGGGACTCTCCTCCAGCACCATAATTCAAAAGCATCAATTCTTCGGCAAGCAGCCTTCTTTATGGTCCAGCTCTCACTTCCGTACATCACCACTGGGAAAACCATACATGTAAACAAATGACCAATCACCAAGAAAACCCAACACGGCCACATTTGACTTCAAAAGAGCAAACTTTCCCCAAATGAGGAGATTGGTAAAAAGAAAGTTTCTTCTGTAGAGAAGAAGCCGGTCTTTCAGATATTTGGAGCCCAAGTCATTATGTGCTTTAAACACTAACATGAGCACCTTGAATTGGGCCTGGAAACGAACTGTTGCTCATCATTCTTCTGCAGGCATTTGGGCCAGTCTTTCTGATGGAAGCTGAGAGGGCCTCTGTAAGTGCTGCCATCAGAAGTGGCACCAAAATAGATAAATAGTGCAGGCCCAAAAGTAGCTTTAAGGGGAACTGATATCCGCATTGGATCTCATTTTCCTAAAAATAACGCCTTACTGATTGCTGGGCTGCCCTCGGGGAACGGACACAAACAGAGCTCCTGCTTGTCGCCTTCCAAGAAATGTTTGTTTCTTTGTAGATGGGCAACAAAATCTTTGTGACACTGGAATGGTGCCTCGGATCATCTTACCCGAAGCGAGGATTTGGAAATTATATTTATGGCTAAACTCAAAGCTGCTCCAAAAAAACTCTTTAGCAAAACCAGCTAAAGAGGGAGAAGGCAAGTGTTAAGAATTATTAATGTTATTATTTTTATGTGTGTCAGCAGGAAAGACTTTAGATAAGCTAAAAGTCCACTTCTGTCCTTAAAGGTATTCTTGGGATGCTGGTATTTTAACCATATGAATACAGTAATATAAGAAGTCCACCCCACAGCTGGAGCATTGTAAATCCTGTCCCAATGAATAATCAAGGGAGGCATTTAAAGCATTTACAAGACGGTGGCTGAAGTCCAGCATATGCATATGCAAGGGGATGAACAGGCATGTGAAGGACCCCCATGATGTCCTTTTTATTGTGTATTTATGATGGTTTCGGGCAGTTATATGTGATCCTGCTTTCAGTACTTGTTTATGCCTGCAAAGGTTTCTGGGCAGA